TCCGAAGATGGCCTTTCCTGGTTATTCATGGGACCCCGTCGAGGTGAACCTGCCAGAGTGGGAGTTTGAACCACAGATTCCAGAGATATTGACAGGAAAGGATTGGTATTACCAACAGGCGTTATTTCCTGCGATTGTTTGGTATTTTTCGCAACTTCGATGGGCTGCTGACGATACACCAATGGCGCCCATGTCTGTTTCCTGGGCGGAGTTGGCGATCGACTTCACTATCTGTACTGGTTTACCGTTGGTCACGCCGGCGGAGGATCCACAGACAGCTACTCTCGAGCGCATGGCGAGATACTTCTCGACAGCTGCTACTCGGATGAGCTACTTGTGCAAGTGCAAATTGGGACCACGTGAATGTTTTAAAGAAATTCGTGCCTTATCACCACTGGGAATACGTGCAGTACCTGGCTTCAAGTGCAGGGCAGTGTTTGTGAATCACCAACACACGATGCGAGTACTATACGCTGTGGCTTTGGCGACGACGGAGAAGACAAAAGGCATTCGAGTGCAGCCAGCTTGGGGTTCGGTACCCAAGCCCATATGGCAACCTCCGAAGCTAGCCGAGAACCTGTCAACCACGGTGAGGCCAAGTGACATTGTTGCCAAGGCCGCTGCTGCAGCTGAACACGTCTCGGTGGTGCGACGGGCTCATCATGTCACTACTATCAAGGTCATGCGAGCCACCATCACTTGGACGGACGAGGAGAAGAAAGATTGGGAGGGCCTCACAGGCCGAGATCTTCAGAACGAGCAGAAGAGAATTCTGCATAATCGCGAAGCACGCCAGCAGGGATACCATGTACTTGCCCCGTTGAAGGGGCCAAACAAAGATCAACCTCCCAAGCTGGTGTGCATCAATTGCAAGCTCGAGTCGAAGGTGAGCCAGCTTGGCTCATGGTCACGCCTTCTATGCCAACCTGGAGCTCCACGAGGCCCACGTCTTGGTAAGAAGCGTACCGCTGCCGACTACGTAATCATGGTGGACGAGCATAACAAGAGGACAAAAATTCCAGGAAACCGTTGTCACGTTCTCACACACTATCGAGCGGATCAAAAGGACAAGGAATTGGTATGTACTCTTTGTGGCTCCACGGCACCGACCAGGAGATTTCAGCAATTTACAGCCGCTCTTTGTGGAGGGCGTTAGGACGCAAAATCCAGGCTAACCACCTGGTTTAGTCGCACAGCCACTGCCCACCCCTCTGGTGCACCTGCCTGTTGGACTTCGGTCGCTCGCAGGTTAACAGCGCGTAGGGGTGGCGGTGAGTCTGGTTTTGCTGGATGCATGTGGGAACAGATGCTTTTATTGACTATTGCCGAGGGGGAGGACCCGTAGGGCCATTACTGGTGGCCACGAAGCCTTAATCGCGACGGAGCGTGCTCCCCCTCGGCAGATGCTGTGATTATTTACTATGCGTATTGGTGATCTCTTGCAATGTATGTGAGTGCAGCCTCAATTGGGTCATCATTTGAAGAGGCAACTGAAGCAGTTTCTTTTCTTGGAATGGTGTATGAGTTACTACTTGGTTGGTTTCTTATTGCTATGCTATGCGAAGAGTGAGATATCGGTGCACGTTGCACGCACTGGTACTTCCTCATACATATGTTATTGTTGAACCTTTTGACGCTGAGAAGCGCTGGAGGCAACATGATTCTTCAGTTACAATGCAGCAAGGAAAGCGTCGAGCTTCCCTCAGCCAGTACTTCTGTGGATGGGAGTCTGACTGCAACTATTACATACTATCGTGATGGATTGGTTCACTGCGGACGAGTGCCAAGGTGAAGGGTGAGAACAAGGAGGACGCAAGGGCCTTGGAAGCCAAAGAGAAAGTTTTTGAACGGTACCAGACTGGCCGAGGAGGCTAAGGAAAGGCCGATGAGGCAAGGGCACAAGCACCCCCTTGGAGAGCCACTCGTCCTCCTGAGGTGGCTTGACTGCATCCAGCCCTTGCTTGCGTCTCCCGCCTCCCAGACCTGTTACGTCGTATTTTGTTCTTATCGCGATTCCATAAACACCCAGACCCATTCCCACGGACTGGTTTTTCATACTGATGGGCAATTGCTCGACAACCTCGGTACCCGGAGAGGGCTCCTGGAAACGGAAAACTGCCAATAACAAAAACTTCACGATGCGAGGCCCCGAATTTTGATAGACCCAACAGGGGGTCCAGCTGCACGGGGGTGGTGCAATAGATTTGGGGAAATTGTATTGCATATGTACTGCGCCGGAGACTTGTATTGCATTGTGTTGCGACGAGTACATTGCACGCGAAAGCCCAGCAATACTGAAGGGGAACTGAGACACACAAATCCGCCGATCCGGCGTGTGAGTTTCAAGGAGTCTCAGCTGCAGCCTCGAGGCTGAGCCTCAGCCTCTGGGGGGGTTGCCGGGGTGGCTCTGCCGGGGAAGGGGGGGTGGGGTGGGGGGGGGGGTGCGAGTTTCCGGCGGATGCGTTTTTTGACACCCCTCACAAGGATCGTGGCCTCCGAGGGGGTTCCGAACTCGAGTACCACCCCTCCCGCACCAAGAGGCTCCGAGGAGGCCTCCAAGAGGCCCCAAGGGGCGCAGAAGAGGCCCCCAAGAAGCCCCAAGAGGCTCCCAAGAGACCCCCAAGAGGCCCTCTAGTGGCCCCAAGAGGCCCAAGAGGCCCCCAAGAAGCCCCAAGAGGCGCCCAAGAGGCCCCCAGAAGTCCCAGCCAACCACGAGATCCCAACCAGCATCCATGAGGCCTCTGACCCACCACCCACGCACGGTGGCGGGATAGGCCGACGGCCACTGGATCCGCCGCCCCCTGCTTGCAGGGGTGCACGGCGTGCTGGACGAGCTGTTAGGTTTTGGTTTTGGTTCTTTTTCCAAAAGAACTCCCCAGTGGGCTCCGGCAGAACCCGCCGGCCACCCGGAAGGGTGCTCAACGACCGGAAAAAATCCTCCAAAAACGGCCGTTTCGCTCGGGACATCCTCAAAAAATCGCGAAGATGGCCCAAGATGGCCTCCAAGTCCGCCCGAGATGGTCCAAGACGGCCTCCAAAACGGCCCAAGAGAGTCCAAGACGGCCCAAGACGGCCCAAGAGGCCCCCCAGAGGCCTCCCAGACGGCCCAAGAGGCCTCCAAGAGGTCCTCCAGGAGAGTCCGAAGAGGCCAAAATCATTGATTTTCCCTTGGTTTTTGAAGGATTTTGGCATTTGCGCCTTTTCGGCTCTCCGACGGCTCAAGACGGCCCAAGAAGCCCCCAAGATCGCCCAAGAGGCCCCCAAGAGAGCCCCATGATGGCCCAAGTGGCCTCCAAGATGGCCCCTAGAGGGCCCCAAGAGGGCCCAAGAGGCCTCCAACACGCCCAAGATGGCCTCCCAGACGCCCAAGATGGCCTCCAAGACGGCCCTGGAGCATTCCAAGCGGGCCCCAAGTCGGCCCATAGAGGCCCCCCAAACGGCTTCCGACGGCTTCAGACGTGCCAGGAACCCACCAAGATGGCCGAAGTTGGCTCGAAGCTGGCCCGAGACGGCCCAAAAAGCCCCAAAGATCGCCCAAAGCTTGCCCAAGAGGCCTCCAAGACGGCCAAGATGACCTTCAAGATGCCCACGTGTTCCCCGAAGGCTTTCCAAACCGATTCGGGGAACACGTGGTCCGATAGCTTGGCAGGTCTGGCCTCAACGTTCGGCCACATAGGCGCTTCCAAAAAGGCAGGGGGCGGCGGTGATTCGCCGTAGGCGTCTTCGATAAATGCTGAGTGAGAGGAGGGGAGGGAAAAAGAGAGGAGGGACGAGGGCGAAAAAGGATCACATCAGTCGGAGCGCCCCGGATCGGCGGCACTGGCCGAAGGCCACTACAATAAATACACACAAATAAAAATATCCCGGAAATTTCCCCATATTTTCTGGGTTTTTGTCTTCCCCCTCACTTCCCATATTGTCCCATATTTTCTGGGAATCGCCGATAAATTGTGTCTGTGTGTTTCTTTCCCTCCTGAAATACATTTGCGCACCGGAATGTATTGCACGCCCCAAATCTATTGCAACTCCACAAACTTATTGCACCAAATCTATTGCACCACACCACCCCCTTTTCGCTGGACCCCCATTTGGGTCAACCAAACCAATGCTCCTCGTCGTCTGGTTTTCAGGTCATCACTCAGGGCTCCGGCGGCCGTTCGTCAAGATCCGGGCAACCCCCGACGCCTCTCGGCGAGGCACAGCTGCTGAAAAGCATCCCGAAGCAGGAACACATTCAGGAACTGATGAGAACGGTCGAAAACTGCGATAGCCTTTGATCCGCTGGCGTCGAGCACGATGACGATGACGATGATGACCACGACGACGACGACGACGACGACGGTTGCGGCGACGACGACGACGACGACGACTGGAACGACGGTGACGACCACGACCACGACGACGGCGGCGATGCTGATTATGTTGAGAATAATGATCACGCGGATGCAGATGATCGCTATGACGATGGCAATGACGATGGCGACGGTGATGATGACGATGATGACAGTGGTGAAGGTTATGGCAGTGTTTGTGATGGTGGTGATGAATGTGATGATGGCGATTGTGATAATGTTGATGATGACAGTGATGATGACGATGCAAATGATGATGACGGTGCGAAGCTGATGATGATGGTGGTGATAGGATGAGGATGAGGATGACGAGGGGGATGTTGATGACGATGATGGTAATGATGATGGTGCTGATGATGATGCTGCTGATCGTGCACTCTACTGCGCGAATTCTGCACTGGTTTAAAGGAATGCTATGCAGGAGAGGATGAAAGCTGACAGGCATGCACGGCAGAGGCGGAGGAAGAGGATTAGGAAGACAGGCAGAGGATGAAGTGAACAACGGGCGCTACAGAGATTGTAATCGGGCCTCGCTGGCCTTCAGCTCCTCGAGCGATTTCCTCCGTACTGTCGAAATGTCATTCCGGGCGCCAGCGGCCCACTCAGCATCCTTTGGAAGCCGTTGCACCATGCAGCCCTAAGGAAAAATTAGATCATGATCATGTTCAAGGGCGCGCTCGGCATCACGAAGATCCTGCC